TTCCTCTGCTGTATTAGACTGGGTTTTGCCATTTTTAAGCCAGTCTGTGTGCGCCAAACTTCTGTTATGGCTATACACTGGTTTCTGATCACTTATAGCAGTAAAAATATAATGTTTGTACCTGGCCTTAGTGTGGCTGTAGTAGTGATATAGGGTATATGTGGCAGCTCCTCTTAACTGGTTGACGATGCAGGAGCTATCACCCAATCCTTGTAGACTGAAGCGTTATTATCAAGGATGGTTGAATTTGGGATGCATTGAGCTGAAGAGGTTTAAAATTCTCCCTCCATTTATAGTTGCCAAACGTTGAATAACCTTAAAATCTCTTCACTGATTTCCTGTAAAGGTGATTTGTTTAGCGTAACTCACTGAGGCAAAGATCAAGCCTAGTTCAAGTAGAACTGGTTTGATAGTTTGTTTGGTTTTTTTTGTTATAAATGAACAAAACCTTGTTCTGCCATAGTTTGTTCAAAGCCAGAACACTTCAGGGCCCTTCAAAACTCTTAAATACCCTAGCTGTGAAACATATTCTTCAGAAGCTGAGGGTAAAATTTTAACTTGCTGGTTCTAACATAATGATCCAACTTTTTTTCAAACACTCATAGATTTTGGACCATCTGTAAAATAGTTTTAAACCAAAATTAATATAAACCTGTGACGTGTACAACCTTGATCCCACTTATTTTATGCTATTTCACAGGGAAAATTTATATTCAACTTACACTGTGAAATCTCCACAAGTGGGAAAAACCATTGTGCACGAAATTAATAAATATAGAGGAGATTTATTTTGCTGTTGTCTTCTGAATTGTCCAGCTATTGATGGATCAAACTGAAGACACTGGTATTCTTTGCATTGTACAAATACCAATTATGAGAGAACAAAGGGAACATAAACAAGTTACAAAATTTCTGGTAAGTGTTTTGAACTATATGATATACAATATGAAGATCATAGAGGTGTAAGAAGTGTCACAAGGCATGTTCTGAATTATGGGGTTACAGCAGGGGTGGTCAGTTATTTGGGTCTGGGGGCCACAAAGGGAGTTTTGATGAGTTGTCATGTGCCAAGTCAGCACCCCCTAGTTTCTCCGGCTGCAACAGCTCACCAAATCTCCCTATGTGGAATGGGGCTGTAACTGTTTAGGCGCAGGATGGGCAGGTAAAGCCAGGATCATGGAGCTGGGTCACAAGGTGGTGACAGTGTGGGGCCAGGGCCCAGGGCAAAGCTGCAATCTACTCTGCCCACTCTTACCCTGTGGAGTTTGGGGGGCATGTGCATGGTATGTGCGTGGCAGGGGTGCCTGGACACTAGGTCACAGGAGCCAGCTGGGGGTGAGGGAAGGGAAAAGGGGGCAGGGGAAAAGTGCAGTAGAGCTCACCCAGGTGGTGTGGTCTGCAGTTGCCCTTGCAGGGCTCTGCATGAGACTGAGCCCTGCCTGCACCTGCTTGGGGCAGCCCATACCATTCTTCTGCCCATACGTGCTGGGCCAGCCCCAACTAGCATGCACTTTTTACCAGCAGGGCTGCTCCCCTTGCAGATGCCACTGCCCTGGTGCTACTTGGCTCCCCTCACCTCCAACAGCAGCTCCTTCTCCTGCTGCACCACTGTGGGTAGGGAGGAAACTTCAGCTAGGCAGCTCCTGCCCCAGCATGCAGGGCTCCGGCTCCAGCTTCCTTCCATCCACTTGACCACCCACGTCAAGTGGGCAAGCAGCACCCAGGTGGCTGCAGCCACACTATAAGCAGCCCCACCAGTAAACTCTATGCACTGTCCTGGACCCAGGCCAGCGGGCACAGTTCTGACTGAGAACTGCGCAGGCTGCCCTGGGCAGTTCTCAGTCCCATGTGGAGCATCACAGGGGCAACTGTGGGCCAGATTCTGTCAGTTGATGGGTACCCCCCGCAGGCCAGATCCAATCAGTTGGTGAGCCAGATTTGGCCCATGGGCCATAGTTTGCATACCTCTGGGTTACACGATATATATTTTTGGTGGTATTGCTCAGCTGAAAAACAGGAACATGCCCATATTTTACTTCAAAGTTATTACTTGAGAGATGGTCCAACAGAGGAGGTATGTGATTTTGATATGGGAAAGTATTATTCAGAACTGTAAGTTACCATATTTTTTGCATATAATGCACCCTGTCTGTAGTAATGCACGTTGATTTTGAGGGGGAGCCTAAAGGGGAAAAAAAAGATCTTTGAGGTAAATAAGTGGCAGCAGCTAGTGAGCTGAGCCTGTTGTGCCAAGTCCAACCCTATGTGCTGGCTCCAGAATCATGTGCAAAGTCCAACCCAGTGCACTGGGTCCAGGGCTGTCTACTCTGGAGTCATGCTGGGTCTGGCCCCATGGACTAGGACTGTGCTTTGGCTCTGGGGCCAAGTGCCAGGTCTGATCAGCGTGTGGTCCTGGAACCAGCACACAGTCCCCAACTCAGCACAACCATTCTGACTGAGAACATGGCCCCAGAGCTAACACATGAGTTCAAACCCAGGTCTGGGGCCATGGTCAGATCACATTTGGTGGGTTGGGTCTGGCCACAAATTATATATAAGAAAATATGGGTATTATTAAAAATATTTGTTGGGAAATTGGTCTCTGAAGCAGAATGAGAAATGTTGCTAATCTAAATTACTATTTCCAATAATGGATTATTAGTGAACCTGTTTTCTTCTAAAACTGAAAAGAGGCTCCCCTTTGAGACAGCTAAGTAAAGAGACACAGAGATAACTGTTAAATGAACCTCAGTCAGCTGTTAAAAATACAGATCTGTTGACCAATCCTATATATACTTCTGTCTGTGGCACAAAAGAATTTGCTAAAGGTTGGTTATGAGTTATGAGTTAGCTGAAAGGATCTGCATAATGGAGCAAGGCTGATCTATGGCATGAAACAGCTGCACTAATTTCAGTATCAGAATAACAACATAACAGTGAACCATAATTTCAGATGGATAATGAGTATATCAAATAGAGTAACTTTTACCTTATTAGTGCTGGATTTTGGATGCTGTTGGCTGTAATTTTAGCCAGGTACAGTTCCTGTGTCTGGCACTTCATGTCATCTATTCAGGAATCCAAAGGATGGGGCAGTGGAAGACATTCACTT